TATCGTAGAATGGTTGTATTGAATGAGGATTTTGGGTTGTGGTTTTCTACTGCATGAGAAAATCTGAATCCATTCAGAGTCGAGTCGAATCTAGTCGAATCGAGACTTCCACTGTTGTCGTTGACAACTGAACGTACTAAGCCAGCCACCATATCTCAGGCCGAACTGGAAAACGGCAAATGTGACACGGGCTAGCGGTGCCTCGCATTCAGGGAATGCTGAGTCGAACAATCTTATTAAGAATCTGTCCATCAACAGAGCGCATCCCTCATCTGCACTAGCCTTCGGTAAGGAAGGTCGTTAGAAGGGCAATCTTCATCGCTCCTCTAGTGCTTCTTTTGATTCTTAAAGAAGTAGCGATATGCCCGCGTGCCAGACCTTCTCTATCTTGCATTAAGGGGAATACAAATCTCTAGCCCTGTGCTTTAAAACCCTTCATCCGGTCAAAATAAGATCTTGATTCTGAATCTATCTATTCCTTTCCCCGGCTGGGTCCTTTTCCACATAAGGCTGAGTCCGGGGAATGCTTTATCTCATCAGTGCATAGCTTGAATTCACCAGCTATCGATCTTCTGCGACTGACCGTAGGACTATCTCGCTCCTCTCCTTCGAGTCGAGACTCCTCGCTATCCTATTCCTCGGTGGTTTTTGCGGGAAGGCAAGATGTGCAGGAGTGATAGGCGGATAATTGTCATCTCTGGAAATAGCCCCACCTATAAATAATATAAATAAAGTCCCTTCGCTTGAGCCTCGCGCTAGAGCTTCTTGTTCTAGTTAGAAGCTGGCTTTCCTAACAGAGTTTAGAGTTGTAGCTAGTGTTTATGAGGGAGTTCCGCAGCTCTGGGAGAGAATTCCATTCTTTTCTTGAATTTTTGAATAGAGTCAAGGGAGAATGCCGCTTTTAAAAAAAACCGAGTTCCCGAGAAATCCGTCAATAAATAACGACTCTTATCCTAGGTTTGAAACTCGGTCTGCTTGCTCCTACAAAAGCTCATACGGGGTGTCTCCTACTCCTCTCCGGGGGCTCGCTCCGCTCTATGCCCAAAGCTTCCACTCAATCACAGAGAGGTCAACCCATTGCCGATACTCAATATGCTGGTCCGGTTAACCCCAACCTCCCCCACATGAACGAACGAGCGACTCGCAAGACTCGAACTAGCATAGGCGGATCGGATCCAAATTAGCCTATCTTCCGTCAACAGGAGTCGCTTTGGTGACGCAGTTCGGTTGGCGAGGGAAGCCTTCCTACGTCTGCACTTTATACCGTCTTTTATTTTTATTTCATGGTTATATAAAGAAAGGGCTCATCTATTCTCTTTCCCTTTTAAGTTTGGTATCCTTCTTTTGCCCCTTAGTGTTCTATCCCTTTGTGTTCTGATCCCCTTAATATTGCTAAACATTCCCTCGAGACTTTTGAATGTGCTAGCTTTTCCGTGTTTGTTGATTCTATTCTCCCTCGTTTTTGTTGGGTGAACCCCAACACATTTTTATATAAATTTCTTTCCAACTAGAGCCCTTTACCTTATCCTCCTTTCTTGGGGGGGCAGAGCATTAAATTTAGACATTCAAGAATGTTCGCGTCGTACGCAAAATCGTTCTTGTCTGCTATCCGCTCCCGATTTTCTTCTTGTCAAGATTCTCCCTCCGCTTGGGAATCAGTGTCGGGTACATAACATAGAAGGGTCAGATCGAAAAAGAAAGGGTACATAGAGGGGTAAGAAGTAGCGACGAGTGAATCAAAAGTAGCAAGTTTCTTCCGTAGCCTTTCGAAGTCACCCGCAATGGCTCTGATAGTTTCATTTTTTGTTCTTTCTCAAAGCTCAAAGGGATCCCTCTTATGAGCCTATGGGAGAAGACTGGGTAGAAGAAGCTTTTAGCCCCTGCTTGTGAAGTGCTATTTTCCGGTCGTCCAATGGTCTTTAGTCGTTATTAAGCCTGGTATGTCTCCGCCCTGTGTCCACAATTCCAGACCTTCAATTCAGGATCATGCCTTGGGCTTTCAATCCGAGATCATGCCTTGGGCTTTCAATCCGAGATCATCCCCTGGGCTTAGTTCACATCTTCTTGCTTAGTTCGCATTCCGGGTATGTGGCAAGCAAGAAAAAGGTATTCGCCATAGTTACGATATCCTTTGCTGATAGTACTACTAGCTCTTGACTTAAGGGACAGTAAGTAGTTTACCTATGGGTGTATGCGTCCCGTAGTCTAACTGGTACTCATGTCTTCTATAGCAGTCTGGTATATGTAACGTTGTTGGTTTCAGGTTGCTTAGGACTAAAAGCTAGTAGTGAGACTTCTATTCTGCCGCCCTATCTAGTAAGAGCCTCTAAAGCGATGTTTGGCGTAATCAATAGAAGGGCTCGACTTTACTGAAGAAGAAGAGGCGGGAATGATCCACCGGATTCATGGCCCACCCATCCATCAAAACGCATCCCTCTACCCTGACACCTAAGATTCCATTCTTTCCGACCACGCTAAAATTATCTATTCATAAGGTCGAGATTACACCTTTTCGTTCCCCACTTCTCCTATATAGCCGGTTTAAGCGAAGCCCAACTCTTTATTAACAACTTGGGCGAGTCTATTATATACATATGAAAGACGAGATTGGGCGAGCAAGGGAAATCACTCAACCTACGATCTAGCCCCCTTTTCTATTGCCCAGCTTTGGAAGAGGCAGTTAGCCGGGTTCTATTCCTTTTCAATAAGATTGGTCAAGGCTTTCTATATAAGCACTTTAGAAAAGAAGGTTGGGAGCCTTATTGACATTAACAAGAATTAGCCTTTCGCTGGACCTTCTCTCATAGTAATCTGAACAACCCGTCGACCCCTATTCATTTTCTATTAATGAATCAAGAAAGGGGATCAAAGTTGGTTATTGAGATCCCCGAACCCCTATGTTGAAAGGGTGGTTAAATACATATGTAATGGCCAACCAATAAAAGGGGGAAT